TCTATTATTCTGATCCGAGAACCAAAATTTGATAACAGAAATGAGAGAAGGTATTTTTAAGAGGTGGGAAAATTAGGTTACTTAATCAAGTTACTGTAAATTTTAGGGCAAAGCAAAATTTGGTTCCCTTATGAAATAGACTTTGCCATTCAGGCTAACGCAAAATCGATGGATAATAAAATTTGAATACCCCTTAAATGGCTTAATATAGGAACTTACGGGATAAATCACTCTATTCTGTCTGTCTGGCTCAATGTTTGTATGAAATTTTACAATAATCCATTATTTAGTAACTGATGGAAACAAAAAAAAACAAAAACTCTTATAGACAGTGAATTCACCCCGAAATTAATCAGCATTCTTTTGTATGTACTCAAATACATAATAATTAAAAACCTATTTAAAAAGAAGGTGGTATGTTTACATGAATTAAACATTTTTAAATATTTCTAATCCAAGAGTACAAGATATGTTTTTTATAAAATGAGATAATGGCCATTGTAAAAATTAAATTGTTACCCTGTACAGTCTAATTTGTTTTTAAATATCCATTCTGAAACTTGAATCAATGTCATTCACCCCGAAATTAATCAGCATTCTTTTGTATGTACTCAAATACATAATAATTAAAAACCTATTTAAAAAGAAGGTGGTATGTTTACATGAATTAAACATTTTTAAATATTTCTAATCCAAGAGTACAAGATATGTTTTTTATAAAATGAGATAATGGCCATTGTAAAAATTAAATTGTTACCCTGTACAGTCTAATTTGTTTTTAAATATCCATTCTGAAACTTGAATCAATGTCATTTTGTAGTTCAAGTAAGAACGTCTGATATACGGGGTAAGTCATATATTAGCTTGGTACATGTAATATATTCTAGAATGTTAAGTATAACGAAAAATTGCAGGACCTACTTGGGAAATCTTCAATTTTTATATTTTTATTCCAAAGTACACTTTGTAGTTGTTTTTGAAAGTTTTGACACGAAAATATGAAATCCGTATATTTATATTGATAAGAAAAATAAGTTTTTTGTTTACATGTAGTGTGGTACTTTTTTAGGTTTATTTTTTCAGACCATGTTCTCTTAAAAACTTATTTTTTGAAAAATGCTCTACCCATAATTTGTTTAAAATATATTAGAAATAATTTGAAAATTTTAAAATAAAAACTCAAAAATCCCCCTACGAATTATTTAGATCATCCCCGTACCCCAAAGGTTAAAAAAAAATGTTTGAAGAGTTGAATAAAAGCCTGTCGTCGCTGGGATTTGAAACCAGACATCTTTGTTTTGTACACAAATGCCCTACCTTTAGACCATCACGACATTTGAAATTTGTGTACAGAAAAAAGATGTATGGGTTCGAATCCGATTATTTGTTTTAACCTTTGGGGTTCGGGATGGTCTTAATAAATCTTAGGAGGATTTTTGAGATTTCTTTCTGAATTTTCAAATTACTTCTACAACTTATTTCGGATTTCGACCTGCGATCTACGATACATTAAATTTATAATTTTAAAATATATTAGCTTTTTTGTATCTATTAGGTAATACCAGCAGAACATCTGACGCCACTGCCTATTATTAATATTCTAAACTCTTCCTCTATGACTTCTTTTCCAAATAAGCACGTACTCACATTCGTATATGAAAGTGACGGTGAAATATTACTTCATGCAGCTTGTTCCTTTAATTTCAAATCTGTAAATTACAAAGTATTAACGTGCAGGATGGAATTTAAAGTGCTGCTTTATAATGATTGGTAATTCGCGTAGGTAGCAAATATTTGGAAAAATATTTCAACTTTGGCTGAGAAAACGTCTGAACTAGATTTGCTGGTTTTCCTCCTGCGAATATGTTAAATTCCATACATAATTTTAAAAAAATTCTTTCAATTTTTTTTCTGTAGGGGGAATAATGTAATAATTTGGATTAATATTAGTAAAATATAAAGAATTAAAAAAAAATTTCACAAAAACACACACACACACACACACACACACACACACACACACACACACACACACACACACACACACACACACACACACACACACACACACACACACACACACACACACACACACACACACACACACACACACACACACACACACACACACACACACACACACACACACACACACACACACACACACACACACACACACACACACACACACACACACACACACACACACACACACACACACACACACACACACACACACACACACACACACACACACACACACACACACACACACACACACACACACACACACACACACACACACACACACACACACACACACACACACACACACACACACACACACACACACACACACACACACACACACACACACACACACACACACACACACACACACACACACACACACACACACACACACACACACACACACACACACACACACACACACACACACACACACACACACACACACACACACACACACACACACACACACACACACACACACACACACACACACACACACACACACACACACACACACACACACACACACACACACACACACACACACACACACACACACACACACACACACACACACACACACACACACACACACACACACACACACACACACACACACACACACACACACACACACACACACACACACACACACACACACACACACACACACACACACACACACACACACACACACACACACACACACACACACACACACACACACACACACACACACACACACACACACACACACACACACACACACACACACACACACACACACACACACACACACACACACACACACACACACACACACACACACACACACACACACACACACACACACACACACACACACACACACACACACACACACACACACACACACACACACACACACACACACACACACACACACACACACACACATTGTCAACGACTATATCCAATCTCTCTTAGAAACCGCCCTGTTAACATTGAAGTGAGAGGTTCAACCCGTTTCCAATTTTTTTTTATTATTTTATTTTCGTTTTCGGAGGTTCGATCCGTTTCCGGATTAGAGTGATCTCTCTCCTGACGACGTTATCTAATATCCCAAAAAGATGTCTAAATTAATTTCCGTGCCTCACTTCATGTAAATTTCTGTTCTTTTATTTTTTTATTTATTCAGCTGTATTTGAATCATTCCGTTCCCCGTCCACAACTAATTATTGAACGAAGCCGACGATTTCTGTAAAATCAATTCACACACCGTCTTGATCGTCTTTTGGCAAATCTCAAAATAATTTTTACGTTAACCATCGCATTTTTATTCCAAACACCGCGCTGAAAATTATCATTCTCGTTCAATATAATTGCTAGAGCGTCGATCAGTCTAGTCTAAGGTACAGGGACGTTCCGAAAACTTTCATTTATTTGCTTGCATTTGATTACCGTCATATTTAAATTGTTTTCAAGTGTACTAATTTATTTTTAATAAATTTTCCGTATATAGGGAGTTTCATAATTCCCGGACCGCTTGGCCTCCTGTGCTAGCGAACCGTAATCATTCCTCAATATTTAAATAGTTTCAATTGTAATAATTTATTTTTCATAAATTTTTCAGATATAGGGAGCCGTTCATATTTAATTACTGTTGTATTTTTTTTGTAAATATATATTTTATTACCTATTCCTGTGTTTCTCTTACTGCTGGTTCTTAACTGTTCTCTTTCAGGGTACCGTAGTGTACGAGGTGTAAAGGAGATAATTGTTTTATTTTTATTTATTCTAGTATAGTGGCTACCTAGCAGTGACCGCCTGGAATTATGTTTACCTCCACTGAGTTCACCTTGAGTACACTCTGGTGTACCACAGGGTCGCAGAGCAAACTGCGATTCCAAAACTGGTGCCTGAGCAACCCCTATTCGGGAATCACCATCATAGTGCTACACAGACTTGTTGATTCACAGTAGGTGTACCAGAAGCCTGTCACAACCGTATACAGACTTTTACGCGCAGATTATGGTCAATTTAATCGTCCTACTGAGCGAACTATTCGAAATCTTAAGAAATTTAAAGATACTGGAAATGTTGCAGATAGGAGAAGGTCTGTGTATCATCGTCGTGCACGTTCAACTGAAAATATTGCTGCAGTTAGTGAAACCGTAGCTGCCAACCCAAGAATGTCGATTTGCCGGCGCTCGCTAGTTTTAGACTTTTCTTATGACACCCTTTGGCATTTTGCTAAATGAGCGCCGCGATCGTGCGATCTAACTCCATTAGATTTTTTTCTGTGGGGTTACCTTAAAAGTCTTGTTTATGCCAATCAACCCGAACCGTTAGATCATCTGAAAAAAAATATCCGCCAAGTTATTGCCGACATACCGCCCGAAATGTTTGAAAAAGTCATCGAAAATTATCTAAAAAGGATCGACTCTTGCAGAACGTCTAGGGGCGACAATTTAAATGATAATATTTCTTGAAGGCTTTAGTTTGTCATCATAATACGAAAAACATTAAATAATAATTTCCAAATCTTAATATTCATTCATTAATTGTCATGAGTATGAATTATTTAAACAAAGTCAAAATTGCAAAGAATAGACTGGGTTTTAAATGTGTAGTTGTCGCTATGTGTAAATTATTATTTGATTTATAAATAAAAACTATTAAAATGCTTTAATGATTTTATAACTATTTCTAGTTTTCCATCTGATAACAGTAATGAGTAGATCATTAAACACAAATTACCAAATTTTGAAATAGGTACTTTAATGTCTCAAATGGGACAATTAATAAAAAAGGTGATCAAAAATATGTTGTTTTTCTTTTATTATTTTGGAACTAATATTTTTCACTATTTTTAAAAATACTTGCATTATCTATACTTTTTGACCTCTTTTGGATATAGTCAAACATTTTATTTAAATGTCCTGAGCACTGTATATGTGTAAATTATTTGAAACAGTAATTTCATTATGAGTGATATTATTATCAATTATTGTGATAATCTTTCAGATTTAAATGATATAAAACCAAAGGTATCTTTGAATACCAAATTAAATCAGTACGAAAAAGAAGGTATCCACTATGAAATATCCAACTCGATAGCATCTTCTAGTATAATCTAGACGATAGACAACATTTACAATAAATTGATAATATTGAAAAATTAGAAAAAAAAATTTTTAAGTAACTCTCAAAAAAATGTCCCGCTAAATGTAATGAGTGTTCTCTGTGCCAAATAGTTATATCCCCATATTGATTGCTCGTTTTCTTTTGGTTAAACAGGTAGCTACTTAAAATTCGGTTAACAAAGAAAATTCTTTCATAAAGTTTAGTGGCATCTTCGAGATGACATTGTTGGTAAGTCTGGAAATATTTTGTAATTATAAAGTAACTTCTAAGTGACTCAAAGAACAGTAGTTTTTAGTAGTTTTGTATATATACATTTATTATTAGATATTTTAGTTGTAAATATGTTTTAATTTAAAAAATTATTGTGCCCTAATTTTTTTATTATTATTGTAATCAATAATTTAATTTTGGTTCTTCCACAATAATTTTATCTTATTGTGGTTTCTTATAACTCTTAATTGGTATTTTGCTAGTGGTTTTCTTGAGATTTAGGTTTAAGTTTGTATATATTTCATTTTTCATTCCTAAAATGTAACAATGGTTGTTGAGGGTAATTAATATTATTTTATAGTCAAGCTATTAGTTTTAGATACTCCCGTAGTGTATTATACACGTGAAAATAATGTAAAAAAACTCATTTTATGTTCTTATCTGATTTTATTTATTTTCGTCAAATATTTTCTAGTCACAAAAGTTCTTTTATTAACATTGTTTTATTCCTAAATAAAGCCATAAACATTTTTTGTTTCGTCTACAAAGAGTGCCTGCTGCTCTACTAATTGATTCACGTCTATCTTCTTTATAATATCAACTGCAGTATTTTGAATACGTTGAATTAGTGTAACAAGAGTATCCACTTTTATTATAAATAATAATCGGATAATAACATTAGTTTTTTACATTATTTTCATACGTATAATACAATTCTATAGTTTGATTCTTTTCTCCCCACTCACCCTGTATATTCGACCGTCTCTACCCCAGAGAGCTCGCGTTAATTAATTAATTTTGATGTAGGAACATGAACACTTGAAGGGCTTACTCATACAGCACAAACACATTTCTGAAATATTTCAACAATGTTACATTGAGACATTTGCATTGTTGTATAGATATTACGAAACATCTCGGAAACATTTCTGAAATATGCCTGAAACGTAAAATTGTCCTGTAAATATAATATTTCACAGTAATATTTCTGAAATGAAAATTTGAAATCTTTTATAAATTTTAAATAGTAATATTTCAGAAAGATATTCTAGTTTTTTTTTTTTATATATTATAGGACTGAAAAAAAGGCATTTAAAAATAAGTATACATGCTTATTTAAAATACACAAAACTCAAACATTGATTCTTAAACAAACAAACAAATAAATAAGTTTTAAACAATATCCCATGAAATATAGAAGCGAATTGCTTCATTTCCACAAATTCTTTTAAATGCACTAATCTGAAACAACTAGTTTTTTTTTTAATAAATGCCTTAAGTAAAGAAACATTTACGATTATTATTTACAATCATTAAGATCAATTAGCCATTTTATTTTTACCAAACTTATCTAGGGATGAAAAACTTCATAATTTATGATTCTACTTACTAGTGTACTTTAGAGCCTAATTATTTAGTTATACAATTCTATAGGGAGGGGCAAAATTAAAAAAAAATAGAATGTTTATTTATTGGAAACAAAGAAGATGTGATATAAAACAAATAGACACAGCCATATACAATAATAAAAAAAATAAAATATATAAACACGAAAACATAAAAAACTCACTTAAGCACGTCGACGAACACAAAGACTTTGAGAAAACGCATATTTGAAATTTCTTCTTTCTTTCTTTCTTTCTTTCTTTCTTTCTTTCTTTTAAAATTAACTATAATAAAACAATTCTCATGCCTAAACAAAACATGAAGACCTACCTAAGCAAGCATTATTTATGTAGTTCTCACCTTAATTTCTAAAGACATATTTTGCTTTCCATATCCTAACAACAGCACAACGCATAAATATCAAAAACCGACGACTCAAATCTATAATTATTTAGAATATAGGCTTGTTTCTAGCTGGTAGCTAGACAAAATGGATGAAATAAAAAAACTACATCTTCTTCTTACAGATCAGAAATTCTTTATTAATTATTGGCCTTTTACAACATAAATCTTTTAGTAACCTTTTCTGTAACATGTATACCATGTTTCAGAAACATTTTCAGTGAAATAAGTAACTAAAACATTTCAGAAACTTGTGCTTGGAATGTTATATGTTTAAAACGTTTGAAATATTCCTGAAACACTTCTGAAATAATGTGTGCTGTATGGGTAGTTATCGAGACATAGGGTGTTAAAATTTTAACTCAATGTTGAAAATTTGCCATAAATTAAAAATGTGTCAAAATGAAAATGCCTAATATTTTTTTTAATCAAATTTAATCGAATTTAGTAATAATGAGTCGTTACAAATTATTTAAGTAGGTGTAGACTATTGTTTAAAATCAAAATTTTTACAACATCGTTCATTTTAGCTGCATAGAAGATTATTTCTAATTTTGACATACAAAGTGTCAAAATTATTTACTATGTAATCAGTTGCATAATGTTGTACATTATGAAACTGGTTACAAAAAATTAGCTATGTCACCAATTGCGAAAAGAAAATAAACAAAAATAAACCTTCTTGATTTTATAATCAATATTTATATTGAAAGTTTATATCAAAGATGAGTAGGTTGAATTTAAATTGAATTTGGTTGAATTTACAATCTAGTAATAATGTTATTTTGGTACTCATTTTCTATTCTAAATCAGCACAAATATATTTAAAACACAATACACGATAAAATAACGCACTTCTTTGAAAACTATATAGTTTTAATAAGCCGTATTTTAACACTACAAATCGTTGAGAAAAAATAATTAATAAGATGTTCTATTTGTCTATATGCAACTAACAATTCAAGAAAGTAATATTGGTTGGCTAGATATAAGTAACGTTTTATCAAAACACAATTTCATAAATATTTCAGTCTAAATTAGAACAAATATTGCATAGTCCGTTGCAAGATAATCTAGAAAGCGCAATGATCTGGCAACCTCTTGAATCGCTCGCCAACATGCTGATCGGAGCCGGCTTAGGTTAAGTGTTATTTGTTTAAATGTTAAAGATAATTTTTAAAATTTGATTTCTACAAAGATCCTTTTGTAGTCTAACTTGCATTGAAAAAATATAATATTCATTTCAAAAATACCTTATTTACAATATGTACATAGGATTTTTAATAACATTTAAAATACATAAAAAATATAACACGTTGAGAACTTGTATTAAAATTAAAATAATAACAAAGGTTTTATTTCCAAACACAATATGTTCAACTAAAAAATCTATTGAAAATTGAAACTGACTAAAATTATTAAGTATTAATTTAAAGAGAATATGTTTCACTAGATTTATTTTGTGGAAATGTAGGTAAATAAATTTAAAAGCGTCTATATTTCTAAATCACTTTCACAGTCACTAATTTCATGTTCTGAAATACTATCACTATCATCATCATCAGTATCATCCAAATTTATTTCAATTATTTGAATTGTATTGTTAAATCTCATATATTTCTCTTCGATTTTTTTAACATGTTGTATAGCGTTTTTCCAGTTTTCAACAATTATACAGTTAAATGCATTTCTTACTACATTACTCACAGAAGCAGTGGACTTAGGAGAAGAGTTATTTGCTCGAGAATAATTGTTTAACTGGTGGGTGGTAAACGTAAAACTTAACGTAAATCTGTTTTTGATTGCTATGGTGTCAATAAACAGCATTCCATATTGATTTAAAAACTAAACACCAAATTAAAAATATACTGTTCTGATGGCTTCATTTTTGAAAGAATATAAAGTTTTATTATGTAAATCAAGATGAACTTTAGAGACCTCAAAGCTTGTACAATTTAGATTTTTCGACTGCAAAGAGCTTCGAAATACTGTCATAGCATTTAGGGTATCGTTAAATAAACGATTTCTTTTTTATTTTTTATGTCTGTCATCAGAGAAAAAATTATTTCAGCCTCCACATTAGAATGAGGTAAAGACCTAACTATTGTAGCGACATTGCTTAAACTACTTAAAATTATGGTATCATTAAAATCTTTTGTCTCACCTATTTCTTTCCAAAACTTTATGGTCATATTAGAAAGCCTTCTTTTTTATTTTCCGAATAATGAAACGGTAGACTCTGCCATTTAAAATCAAGTTTTAATTCTGACATCACAGAGTTATGTACGGGCATACGTACTTGTAATTCCTGCGTGGCAGTTATATAAAAATTCAAACATTTAATTCGAAACTCATAAACTAAATCTGCAGGTAGTTCTTAGGTAGATATTTTCAATAGTAAGTGATCTGGGTGTTTAACTTTAATAGTTAAACACTGACAAACATATTGGGGTTTTATAAAATTTTGAGAAAGTTGCCTTAAAATTGTACAACATCTTTCATATAATTGTTCTATCAAAATTCCACGACTTTGAAATAGAGCGTTGAAAGAGTTAAAATAGTTGAGAACATATGTCAAGAAAAGTAAATAGCCCCTCACTAAGGGATTTCTCATGTCCTCTAAAATTGTATTTGCAATTTTTAAATGGTCTTCTGCAACCGCTACTAAAAATTAATTCTGCAGGACATACCAATTTTCTAGTATTTTTAATAACACATTGATGCATGGAAAGCCATCTAGTTGCAGAAAGTTTAGTATCTTTACTTTACCATGTGAAAAAAACTCTTGAAACTCGCATAAAGTTGCACAGCGTTTTGCACTGCTAGATATATAGTTTACCAATATTTCTTATTAAATCTTCTAGGCTTCTAGGCAATTCAGCACAAGCTTTGCTAGCCACAATTGCACTGGAATGGCATATGCATTGCATTAGCAACGCATGAGAGATTTCTACTTTAACTCTCGAAAAAATTAATTATTTTTTCCAACCATCACTGCGGCTCCATCTGATGCTACTCCGACAATATTTTAAAATGATATGCCTTTAGTGTCAAAGCAGTTTTTAACTGTTGTAAACAAGACTGCTGCGGAACAGTCTTTAGCATCTAATTCAATCAATTCCAGTAATGTTGTACAAATCTTAAATTCTTTATTAATGTATCATACCTAAAACAACAATAATTTGCAAATTGCAAACACTGGATGTACTTCATACAGCAGCCATTTTTTAAATGTGTTTCTTCCCTTTTTCATGTTTATCCAGCTCGGATTTTCCGCATGCAAGAGTGGTGTTACATCTAATGAGATTAAAAATTGAATAGTAGAAATCAAATATTGAACCATATCACTTACCTGTATTTTTGTAAATTTCCTTTCATTGAGGTCAATAAATTTTTATAAAGAGGATTATCTAGCCATGCATTTTGAAACACTTTGGCTTTATTTGTGTATTTCTTTTTGGAGGGTCCATCGTTTTCGTCTGATGAAGTAGACATTTTAAAGCTGTATTTACTCACTCACTTTCACACCAATCAGAAATTTTTAAAATAAACTCGTTCTTGAGCATTGAAGTATTATCACAGATAAACTACCTAACCTTATCCTTACAGTGAGAACAAAACAAAATAAATTGTATTTATTTTTCGGTGAATTCCCTAACCCTCACACTCGATTCATTCCGAAGCTAGTCACTGGTCCACTATAACAGGAGCGAGTTCAGATAATACGTCGGACGCGCCAAAGATTCGGTACCTCTTTATCTGAAGAAATACAAAAAACCAGGCTATCACCTGGGTACGCCGGCGTATCACCTGAACTCGTTCCAGGGTGCGCAGGGTGCGTTCGCGAACGTGCCTCGATACGCATACATTTTGAATCATTTGAATTTTTGAGTGCGTTCAAAACTAGCACCGTCACGCGAATGCGTTCTCTTTTTAACAGTACTCCTGCCAAAATAATACTATCTATGTTGCGAATATTGCAATTACAGAATTGTTTGTGTTTTATTAATAGTTTTAAATTTAAAGCCGTTGGATTTTAAAAATCTCTATAATGTCGTTTTATAGCAGTCTTCTATTAACGTTTTTTGTTTTAGACGTAAAAATAACGTGTTCAAAGTAGGAAAATTATTTACAGAGAACGTTCCATAAATTGTTTCCCTAATCGGTTCTAAAAGAAACTGTGGAATGGAACGAGATAAACCAGAATCTTGTCGCATCTTTCTAGGTGGTGTCCCTTCCTGTAAAATTTTGTATACAGTTGACTGTGGTACTTTTTTTAAAAAAAGAATCTCTTTTAGGGCTTCGGAGGAAGACAATTCATTTTTTTGGACCTTTAAATAAGACTCAGTGTTAAAATCGAATATATTTAGAAAATTTGCATTTTTATAGATATTGAGGTGTTGTTTTCGATTTTTCACCTTTCGGCCTCGTATCTTTGCCACTCGCGCCCAAAAACAGTTTTCTGAAAATATTATCTATTAAACTACAGAAAATTTCCTACAATTTATGTGGTTACCTCTTTCTTGTAAAATGAATAGTTTTAGCGCAAGAGCGCCCCAAAGTTTACTACTGAGTATATCTTATCCAAATTGAACAATTGTTTATGATTAAAAACTGTCCGTCTAATAATGTTACATGCACAAAAATTTTTTTCCCCGCATTTTTTTTCAAGGCTTTTTTTCCTGGATTCATATAATGAGAACAATTATTATAATTACTCACCAGAATAAACGTTTAGAACTATTTTCTTGGCATCACTAGAAAGGTGACAACGCTTCTCTTTTCCTGTTTTCTGTTTGTCCAAATTTATTTCGGAAAAACACTGTTGAACATTAACTACCTCACTCATTTTCACTACTTATTTTAACTATATAGTACTGCAACATCGACCAAATCGCATAAACTTTGAAGCTAAACTAAAGTGATTAGGTAAATTCCACAACAATACTACCCAGGGCCGGATGCTCCTGTGTTCAGTTTTCGTCTGCCATGCGCATGACGTCACTCATAACTTGACTCTCATTAGGGAATTAGGGAGAAGGGAGTGCTCATTTTCTCTGTAACGTATTTATTATAACATCTATAACAAAATGTTTAATACAGAAGATTCGGATCAGAAAAATATTAAAAAATATAAAATGACTAATTTCATGTATTTTTACTTTACATGTTACCTTTGCTGTAAATTTGGTCTCTGGGTTTTTTGGCACGAATCTTGCGGGAAAGGTGTTTATATTAGGTTTATCTTTTCTCTTGCTAAGATGCAACCACTTGTTGCTAAGATTAGCGTCTTTAGGTAAACTAAAAAAACTTACAAACATTCTTACGAAATATTATTATTATGTTTGTTCCCCAAAGAAAAAACATTAATTTTTAAAATCCATTTGGGAGCACCCTCCCTGTTCCGGCTAATACACAACCTTCCTTCATGTTTAAAGCGAGACGATTTTCTACTATAAATTGCAACAGAATATATGTAACACGTCACGAGATGCCGTTTTGTGTAACTCGTTCATGTTACGGGACCTAGCTCTGTTCGTTTCGCAAATATTATTACGTTATATAAAATAAAGCATTTTGTAACTGATTGCATAAATAGCTATTATAATAAAAATTAAAATAGAATTGGAAACAAATAACTAATAAAATGTTTGTTCCAGTGACGTAAAAAACACACCGATAGCGCGTCACTGGTTACATTTTTTAAAGCTTAGTGTATGTCAAAATGTTACTTTCTTAAAAAAACATTTTGGTCACTTAATTTATTTAACAACCTGTATCTCTATTCATCAATTAACGGAAGCTCTGTGGAGTAGAGCGTTATCGGGCGAATATACCAACACCCTGTATATATACATAATTTTTTTTAGCATACAAGTATACTTATAGATAAAACAATCCAAAAAATGAACCCGCATTTTTTTTTATAAGTTGTAGATCCCTCTCTCTGTATCTGTTTTTGATTTATGTCAAATTTTGAATTTTTATTTCAAACTTTTAACACCCCGTATCTCAGTTACTTTAAGGGTTTATGTTCCTACATCACAATTAATAAATTAATGAGAGCTCTCTGTAGTAGAGCGTTATCGGTTAATTATACTAAAATCCTGTATATTATATGCCAAATAAAACGTAGTTATTTTATCTTAATAACTTCCAAGTTAATTTTTAAAATTTGTGGATATTCGTTAGTAAGACGTAGAAAAAATATACTTTACAGCTCGAGTGGATTGTCCTTATTACACTCAGACAATTGAGCACTCTCCCTACGGCGTCGTGCTTAAACTTCGTTTTCGTTCGATATGGCCATCATGTTCACTCTTGTTGCACAAACTAATATTCTACCTCATGAATTTATACTATATTCTGCATATTTAATTATTGTACTTCTTTTTTTCACAACTATAATTCATAAACATTTTTTCCTTTCAGCTTCTATTAATAGCGTTACAATGCATGGCATTGGCCACGTGTGCTGTGTATCCTCCCGAACAAACATATTATAATAATATCCATGGTTTAAATGGTTATGGAGGAGGATATATGGGAGGAGGTGGCCATTTAGGAGCAGGTAGATATCCGGGAGGAATTGGTCATTTGGGAGGAGGTAGATATCCAGGAGGAATCGGTCATCTGGGAGGAATAGGTCATATGGGAGGAATTGGTCCTGTGGGTATAGGTGGATATTTAGGAGGATATAATAACTACTTCGGTAACGGTTACTATAATGGATATAATAGGGGAAAATATTACAAAAAACACCATCATTCTAGAAATTGTTATCCACAAATTCCATACCACATGTACGGGAACGACTTCTATGACCAACAACTATACAATAGCAAAATTTCCGATCAAATATATTCCAAAAAATATTTAGAATTCCTGGAAAAATTACATGACAACGAGGACATTGTATACAACAACGGATTGAATGGAGAAATCATATACGGTAATGACTGGAAAGACTGGGATGATGTTTACTCCTCAGAATATTTGGAACATTTAGAGCATCTATATGGAAAAGACTTTTATAAAAAGATTACATTTGGTCGAGTACCATATTTACGAGATGGCTTCCTTCAAAACCTTGGTCAATATGGAAATAAATTCTGGCAATCAATTTTAAGACCACATCAGTCCGGTGGTTTCATACAAGGTATACACGGTTATGGTAATGGTTTTCTTAGCCAGCTAGGTCGAAGAGGTCATGAATATCCATACTTTTTAGACGATGAATATCCAGAATACTACTCCGAGTATGGGTTTTATAGACCCAACTATCCTTGGAATATATTTGGACATGGCCATGGATATGGTCAAGGTTATGGCCATGGTTACGGGCATGGTTACGGCCATGGGTATGGGTATGGTCATGGTTGTGGCCAAGGATATGGCGGTAACGAAGATTTAGAATTCCCCGCTCGCTTTAATAGCGGCGAAGGTGACTCTATAAAAGATGATAAAAAAATTGACGGCGCTGATGATATTGATATTCATGTTAACCAATCAGACGATGGTACAATTTCAGTAGAAGCTCACGTAGATGAACCTGGTCCTTTAAATATCCGTTTCTCTGGAGGGGACGTTTCTGACAGTAAAGACATAGTTAAAGATGGTGATGAAATCAAAGGTACGCCATAAATGTTAATACAGATTGTCTAACCTAATATAAAGTTAAATTATTGGAATTTTTATGGTTATGGGACATTAAAGATATGCATTGCTAAAAAAGTTGTTTTAATTTTTAATTATAATTATTCTTTACGGTAATATAAATCTCTTTCCTTCAAAGAAAAGATACCAAATTTAAAAAAAAAGGAAAACAAAACAAATAATATCAAATGACAAAAAAATAAAACAAATCCAATAAAAAAACACGAGACAAACAAGAGAAATCAATAGAAATCAAAAAGCTTAAAGCAATGCAAAAGAGTCAATAACATCCATTCATTTAGGTTTCATTAGGATTGTCCAATTTACTATAGGAATGTTATAAAATATTTGACCTTTTTCAACATGTCTTTATATGATAATTCCAAATATAGTAGCAATGGATATTTTTTTAGGTTATGAGATAATTTGTGTTTAAGAAAATAAATTGTAATTAGCATTATGGTAGGTAATTACGTGTTTAGTACAAAAATGTCATTATGATAAAAACAAATTAGTTATGTTTTTAAAATATCTACAATAACCAACTGTTTCATTTATGGGAGTCATACCATCCCTCCCCCCATTCTATATCTTTTTGAGCTATAGAAATAATCAAAAAATACTGCGTTTACTACTTTATAGAAATACCTATTTCTTGATTTGAGTATCTATTGTAACCTTAGAATGAATATTTGACTAGTAAAGCATAGACATATTATGGATTTCTCTTCAAAATTAAACCAATAAACTTTACTTATAAAAGCAACAGATTGATATTGGGCTTTCTTGAAATCCAAAAACAATGTACTTATATTATACTTGCTCCTTCAAGAAGTTTATGAATTGGTACTCAGTGAAAACAATAACATATTCGTGGTTGTCCAGGTCCTAGAAACACTGTACAGTGCCGATAAAAAGCTGATCTCCATAGTATGTAAATGTATTATTAAAGAAATATTTAATTGATACAAAAACGTTTCAAAATATTGTAGATGGTTTATTTGCAGGTGGAGAAAAGCTAAACTTGATTTCACACGGACAAGGAAAGCTACACGGCACTGTACGTGGTTATGGTCACGGGCAGGGATATAACGGCTTCAATTACGGAGGTACAGGCCGATATCCATATTTTAATTACTGGGAAGGACCTTGGCTAGGACCTGGATATGTGGAGGGACAAGAAAATGACAAAATTAATGGCCATTATAACGGACATTGGCAAGATCATTGGAACTTAGGTGGACTCGGATATCATGGAAACGGACATTTTCAAAAAGATGGAAAAACACAAGAGCATGGGGTAGTACATGTAGAGGAGAATGGTAAAGGACCAGATGTACAAATAGAATCAAATGTGGAAGATGGAATAATTACAGAAGAAGAAGTTATCGATGGAAACCCATCTGGAAATGCAAATATTAATGTAAATGTTCATCAAAATGTTCATATTCAAGGAAATATAAATGGACAGGGAGGTATTCAAGATCATAAAACAGAACAAGAACATATCCAGGGTAATGGAAAATTCGAAGGTCATATCGAAGGTCATTTAAACGGAGAAGGGCACGTTGAAGCTCATGAAATCCAAGAAGGACACACGAAAGATCAAGAAAATGGAAAAGTTTATATAGAAGGTCATGGAACCGGTAAAGCCCTAGGTCACGAAAACCTAGTAAAACATATTCAAGCTCATGGAACCGGTAAAGCACAAGGTCATGGAAATATAGCAGGACATATTCAAGGCCATAGAACCATAGCAGGACATATTCAAGGTCATGGAACCGGTAAAGCCCAAGGCCATGGAAACTTAGTAGGGCATATTCAAGCTCATGGAACTGATAAAGAACAAGGTCATGGAAACATAGCAGGACATATTCAAGGTCATGGAAACATAGCAGGACATATTCAAGGTCATGGAACCGGTAAAGCTCAAGGTCATGGAAACTTAGTAGGGCATATTCAAGCTCATGGAACTGATAAAGCACAAGGTCATGGAAACCTAGTAAGACATATTCAAGCTCATGGTACCGGTAAAGCACAAGGTCATGGAGACCTAGTAGGACATATTCAAGCTCATGGAACAGGTAAAGCACAAGGTCATGGAAACTTAGTAGAACATATTCAAGCTCATGGAACCGATAAAGCACAAGGTCATGGAGACCTAGTAGGACATATTCAAGCTCATGGAACGGGTAAATCACAAGGTCATGGAAATCAAGTAGGACATATTCAAGGTCATGGCAATGTACACGGCCACGGAAACCTAGGACATATTCAAGGTCATGGCAATGGAAAAGGTCTTGGAAACATAGCAGGTCTGATTCAAGGTCATAGCAATGGAAAAGGTATTGGAAAAATGGTAGGTCATATTCAAGGTCATGCCAATGAAAAAGGTAATGGAAACCTAGTAGAACATATTGAAGCTCATGTTAATGCACAAGGTAATAAAAATGGACTAGTGCATGTCCAGGGTCATGGAAATGGACAAGGACATATTGGAGGCCATGGAATTGGAAAAGGACACATTGAAGGCCATGTAAATGAACATGGGCACATTCAAGGACATCTAAATGGAGAAGGGCACCTCCTAGGAGGTGAAAACGGACAAAGTCATATCGTAAATAACGGTAATGCCGTAAACGGTCAAGGTCAGTGGTCGCAGGAATTTCACAGCGAATGGAAAGAAGGACAAGGACAAGGTGAAACTATTATCAAAGAAACGACTGAAACTGTAGCTGATCCTAAATCTCTGACATTAACTATTAACATACCTAATCTACCAACACCGACTGTTTCAAAAACTATTGAAGTTATTAAAACCGGAAAGGAAGGTTTAGATGGAAGTGTAATAAAAGAATTAATTCCGGGAATAGTAGGGGGACACGACGGTAAAATAGGTGGTTCCGGTTACATTCACGGTGGTTCTGGCACCATTCATGGTGGTTCAGGCATCATTCAAGGTGGTATCCGATTGACTGAAGGTGGCACCGGTACTTCCGGTTACATCCAAGGCGGTAATGGTGCTTCCGGTTACATCCAAGGTGGAAATGGAGCTTCCGGTTACATTCAAGGGGGTAGCGGTATGACTGTAAATAGTAATGGAGCTTCCAGTTACATTAAAGATGGCAAAAGTTTGAGTAAAGGAGGTAATGGTATGATGCAAGGAGGGTCAGGTGGTTTCTCCTATGATATAACTGGACCCGAATACAGTTGGGATTACAGCACTTCTGGAGAAACTAGCAGCACAGGAACACTACCAAATGGTAAGTCAAGTGATATATATTTTTAATAAATAAAATTGTGTCAATAGAACTACAACGAAAACTATAGTAATACATCTTTATTGAAGTTGAGAAAATTGCGTTTAAAGTTATAAGTGTTTTTTACCTGTACGCACTTTACAATAAAATCCAAGCTTACATAGCTTCCAAAAATTCTGGAGTATTTGAAATCTATTTAGTCTCTGCATTTGGTCCTACAATTTTACATACCAGGACTTTTCATAATTTATAATTTGGCATTCCTAACCCCACACCCATCAACTAGCACAAAGAAAAAATAGTTACTTGAGATACGTGTTTTGCATATTTTGCAACGAATACTGTAGAAACTCGATATACTATTGTTTTCGAAGTAATTCTTATACACAATTATTTAACGTAGCTTGAATAAAAAATTGTTTCTTTGGTTGCCTAATATTCCTTCATCAGACCTTAAAAAGTGGCACGTCGTGATTTTTGCTTGCTATTTTTACTTGGGTACAGGGGATGGGGCTAAATAACATATACTATGATCCAGTGATGTTATCTGTCATAAGTAAAGTTATTTATCAATGGATATTTTTCTGACAATGACAATGTTGTTCCCAATTACAAACAGCAAGCAAAAAACATGACCAATCAGATGAGGGAATATAATATTATGTTAGAGATAGTACAGTCTACGATGTTAAAAATACATTCAAGGTGGTAGCGGTATGACTGTAAATAGTAATGGAGCTTCCAGTTACAATAAAGATGGCAAAAGTTTGACTAGTGGAGGCAATGGTATGATGCAGGGAGGGTCAGGTGGTTTCTCCTATGAAATAACTGGACCCGAATACAGTTGGGATTACAGCACCTCTGGAGAAACTAGCAGCACAGGAACACTACCAAATGGTAAGTCAAATGATAATTTTTTTAATAAATAAAATTGTGTCAATAGGCCTACAACGAAAACTGTAGTAATACATCTTTAGTGAAGTTGAGAAAAGTGTGTTTAAAGTTGTATGTTTTTTTTTTACTTGTACGCACTTTACAACAAAATCCAACTGCTTAGTAAGCTTACATAGCTTCTAAAAATTCTGGAGTATTTTAAATCTATTAAGTCTCTGCATTTGGTCCTACATTTTTAGTTACAAGGACCTTTCATAATTTATAATTTTACATTCCTAATCACACACCTATTAACTAGCACAAAGAAAAAAATAGTTATTTGCATATTTTGCAACGAATACTGTAGAAACTCGATATACTATTTTTTTGGTAGTAATTCTTATACACAATTATTTAACTTAGCTTAAATAAAAATTGTTTCTTTGGTTGGCTAATATTCCTTCATCCACGTCGTGTTTTTTTGCTTACTATTTTTACTTGGGTACAGGGGATGGGATTAAATAACATATACTATGATCTAATGATGTTACCTGTCATAATTAAAGTAAATAAAGTTATTTATCAATGAATTTTTTGTATTTTGCTGACAATGACAATGTTATTCCCAATTACAAACAGCAAACAAAAAAAACATGACCAGTCAGGTGAGGAAATATAATATTGTGTTAGAGCTACTACAGTCTACGATGATAAAAATACATCTTTTAAATATTTTAAAACATACTTATAACTCAATTATACCAACACCAAAAAGTGCAGGCTTAAAATTGTTTTTATTTTATTTAAAATAGATATTATGATTTTAATTATTTAAAGCGTTTCATCAATTTTATTAAAAAAAAAAAAATAACGAAAATTATGTTCATTCTGTTTAAATAGTTTTAATAAAATAAAAAACAATTTTTAGTCTAGAACTTCAACAAAATTTATACTATTGGTACTTCATTATTTTATTTTAGGTCTACCTTTTCCACCAAAAGATGGAAATATGCCTTTAATAGGTAAATTTTTAAGTAGAAATGGAGGAGATGACGATAAAGGATCAACTGATTTAGAAATAGATGTAACCGAAAATAGCAAAAATAAGAAGGAACAAGATCAAAAAGACAGTGGTACAAAGAAACATTCTGGTAAATAGTTTTAAATTAAATATTACCTAAATAATGCTAACGAAAGTAGTAAAGACTTTTTAAAACAGTTGGAGATGCTGAAGAAATTTTTGATCATTATTTTTCTCTTTCCTTATTTTCTAGTTTTTTAATAGACATGTGTCCTCCTTATTTATATAAGTATGTTTAAGTTGGCGCACAGTAAATTTAGCAATCCCAAATATTTTAAAATATACATCTAAGCGAAGAAACTTTAGTTTAATAATAATAATAATATTGGTACTTTACAAAAGGCAGTCTCCGCTTTCTTTTCTAAAAATTTTTTCTTACACCTTAATTTATATTTTATTTCTTGTAGTTCTTGGGTTTTTAGGGGCTAGTGGGAAATGAAACTCATGAGTTTAATTTCCCACTAGCACCTAAAAACTCAAGAAATACAAGAAAAAAATAATGATACAATTTTGAAAAATGTCTTATATTTTATGTTTTTTACAGTAACTCTAGAAATCGATGTAAATAGAAAGGATTCAACGGATTCAAAGGATTCAAATGATTCAAAGGATTCAAAAAAAGCAGATTAACAATTAACTCTTGATCCAGTATCTTAAAATGTATAATTGAAGATGAGATAAAAAAAAATTAAATACCTAACCATAAATATTAACATAAATATTTTGTCAAGACTCAGGTATAATTGGTGCACTAAAATCTTAGTTTTTCAAAAGTACCAAATTAGCTCAAAAATATTTTACATCAATGCAATATTATTTTTTATATATACCTATTATTTGATTTAAGTAAACTAGTAATTAATACTTAATGTTTTTTGTTAATATTCCAGCTAATGAATGAAGCAGGATTTGTTTAAACAATCCATATTGGATTAGTGCATTAAACAATAACTATTATTTTTTTATATCCTCAGTTAACTGATTCCATAAAATAGCTTTTTGTATAAAGTATCTATCTAATAAATAATCTTTAATGGTTTATATGGAGAATTTAATAAAATTATTCAATTTTTAGAAGTCTCTTATTATTTTCCTAAACTCCTTAATATATTTTAATAATTAATCGTTTCAAAATATAGATTCGAAAAATTCATAAAAACGAGCCTTGAGGCAAAATTTTGACCTAAAAAATAGTACCTATATTAAAGTATAAGGTTATTAACAAATACTTTACACTATTTTTTTTATTGGTACATACATTTTAAAATTATAAATAGTGGTAACATCACCACAAAAAATATCTAATGTGTCCAAAATATGATTTTGTGATTGTGTGAATAAGCTACTGTATAATATATTAAGTTTTAGTTCTTGGTTCGTATTGCCTACGAATCGTGGTTTTAGTTCATGTGATATGTAGACTTACTGACACTGCGCGAGTCAGTTGATCAGACTGAAATAAATATCGAGTTGTCAGATAATTTACCACACACATCTTACTCAGAACATTTTTATATTTAAATTGCCAACGAAAATACTGAAAAAATAAAATTTTTCATTTTTTCTTAAATTTTTCCATTACGGTCCATTTAACAAAAATATTTATAAAACAAAAATTACAGATAATGAAATCACAAACAACTTTTATTTGAAGAATTTTCTTCTGCAATAGTAAATAACAGAGATATACCTTAAGGTAAAAAAAACGAAAGCATTTTTCTGATTTAAAAAATCTAACAACAGTACTTTTCACATACATTTAAAAAAAATTAAGATTTTTTTGATATTTGAGAAAAATTTTATTCCTTAGTAATATCGTATTTGACGTTGCAAGGTGCTCCTGTCAGATGAATTAAAAAGTTGACATTTAAACTTTACGTTTCAGGGATTGCTAATATTACCGTGATAAATTTTAAACATGCGCGTTTTTAAAAGTTAGATTTAACCACTTTAATCAAAATAGGGTACCAAAAAAACAATTTCGTTTGTACTCCGGGATTTGAAATATTTAATTCAGATAAACTTGCCATCTGCTCTTTAAATTGGTTTTTATTTATTATGTACTATTGAACCACACTATATAGGATCTCTGTATCTGTAACGTGTGGAGGATGGGTTACCCCACGGTACTTAGGCCTCATTAGGTCCATTGTGCATCCTCCTGAGAAGATAGGCACCTCCTAGCTCGTGAGCCAGCCTACAGATTTAATGTCGCCAAGAGGTGCTTCTCTTATATCGGCTGGTGTTAGCCGATACTCGCCGAACAAAAATATTCTAATAAATGAGAGCGTCGAGCAATCGTAAAGGATATACTCGATGGTCTCATCTTCTTGTTAGCAGAAAATCCTGCTGAAACTTCTGCGAAAAAACCCACTCTTGAAAACTCAGGACCAAGACATTCACCAAGACTACAAAACGCAAAATAATTAAAACTATTTATTTTAATATCCTTTTCTATATTATTTTTATTCAGATATATTTAATAATTAAAATTTTAACCCTTGACTTTAAACTTAATGAACTAATAAAAAAAATAATGAACAATTATCTCTTAGACTTCAAAATTAAACAGGCCGATACTAAATAAATCCAAGATCTCCCAGACTATAACATTCTAATAATTGAGTTTAGTAAAAATCAGAGCATATCTATTTTCTAAATGAATATAAGAAGGGCAAACAAAAATTTTGATGAATTAAAATTAACATTGGAGCAGGAAAGTATACAATCCGGTTTATCCTAATCACAGAAACAAGAAAAATACTAGACACCTCCTCATACCGGCTGGACGGCTATGACTTATTTTACAATAATGGTAGTTTTAATGAATGCGATGGTGTTGTTATCTTTGCGAAAAAAGAGTTTCAGGGTTCATGTAAAATAATAAGTTTTAATGAATTAGTCATCTTAGAACTCTCATGCAAGGTACATGCTAGAAATTTAGTAATAAATGGAATCTACAGACTATGCCCTTCGAACGTAGATACTTTTATAACAAACCTAGGGGCTTACTTAAAACAATGCAAAAAATCAGATATTCATATAATAACAGCCGATATAAATATCAACATATTAGATAATAGTTCCAACTTTGTACACGACTAATTAAACCAACTGACTGAAGAGGGGTTCGAAAGCTTAATAAATAAATTCACTAGGGTAAAAGACCAACAGAAATCATGATTGGACCATATATTCTTCAAGATCAACATAAATAAATATAAAAATATTCCTATAATAATGCAAATCCATATCACTGACCATTTCTCGATCATAAATCATCTTATATTACCAGAAACAAAACAAGATATACCATTAAAAAAAATTAAAAGTTATATTCGACATTAAATTATTTCAAATTCAAATTAAACAAGAAAGTTGGCTAGAAATCTATAATAATAACGATATAGATATTTCTACTGAAGCTTTTATACATAAATTCAATTATAGAGAAAAATCTACAATAAGAAAAAAAATATAAAAAGAACCGATATTAAACGTAAAACCTAGATCACACCATATAAAATAATGAAAAATAATTACACACCACATAATATATTAGTTTTTAAGAGATATAGAAATTATTTAAATTTATTAATGAGACAAGCTAAATCATACTACTTCAATAAAAAAATAGAAGACAATAAAGATGTTGGTAAAAAATTATGGGAATGTGTTAGAGAAATATCAAACACTCAAAAACAAAAAAGGCCAATAAAAGAAATTAAAACACATGTACATCCTATAGTTCATAACCCAAAACAAATTGCAAATGCATTCTGCGAGTACTTTACAAACGTTGGAGAAAAAATGGCTAACAAATAAACAATAAAAACATGGTAAAAAATATTAAACAACAAAAAATAAGTAAAACAATCTATCTTTCAGACACCGATGTAAACGAGGTAATAGAAACCATAATGAGTTTAAAAAATAACAAGTCACCAGGGCTAGATGGCATACGATCAGAAACACTTAAAACAGTAAGTACACAAATAGCACCTGTGTTGACATTCTTAATAAACAAATCAATAAATGATGGTCAAGTTTCCAAGGATATTAAAAATTGCAGAACTTCTACCTCAGTTTAAAGATGGAAATACTATGGAATCTGAAAACTATAGACAATTTCACTAATTTCAAACGTAGGAAAAGTGTTTGAAAAAATATTACAGAAACGAATAGCATCATTTATAAAAAAATATAACATATTATCAGATAAACAGTATGGGTTCCGTGAAAATATGTCAACATCGGATGCAATAATCAGGTTATTAGGAATGGTGAACAATGCTTTAGATAAAAAAAACCATTCATTGCCATTTTTGTTGACCTGGCTAAGGCATTCGACACTGTCGATCACAAGTAGCTATTATCTGTCGTAGAAAATGCGTGATTTAGGGGTATTGCTTACAAGCTATTTGAGAGTTACCTAAACGAAAGAAAACAGTGTGTGAATATTAGTGGAACTTACAGTGATTTTAGAGTTCTAAAATCAGTACCACAGGGAATAGTCCTAGGACCAATTCTATTTAATATATACTTGAATGATATATTTCTACAAGACACAAAAGGTGATATTGTGAGTTTTGCTGATGACACCGCGGTCTTCTATAAAAATGATAATTGGTCAGCTCTCAAAAATGATATTGAATTTGATTTTGTTAAAATAGTTAATTTTTTTGAGAGAAGACTACTTACAATAAATTATAAAAATACTTTTTTTACCGTTTACTTCATATAGCACCGACTTACCACCATTTGAACAAATATTTAGAACTGTATCCACAAAAGAAATGCTTTATATAAAAACATCAAATAAAATTAAATATTTCTGAATTTTCCTCAATTTAAAATGGGATCATCAAATAAACTATTTAATAAAAAAACTAAGATTTGTACTATATAAACTTAAAAATATTTCTAACATCCTAAAATAAACTTACCTCAAAATTCTTTATTATGAATTAGTCGAAAGCCATCTAACGTAAGGTCTTATTGCTTGGGGATCGAATACCTAAAAAAATTTAAAAAAGTATATTAAAAGTTTTATTTCACAAACCCAGAACCTACCCTAC